ATTTAAAAGGTGTTAATAATATTCAGGTAAGGACGAATTTTTTTGCTAAAATAATCTCAATTAAATTTCATTTTATTCTTTATAATATAATGTGTTTAGTTAGCTTGGGTTTTGGATATTTTATTATTTATTAATTTTATTATTAACTTTTTTTTAGATTCTATATTTAACAATGGGGAAACGCAAATGCAAATCTTCAGATTTTGAAAGAGACTTTTCCTTTATTAAAAGGGGGAAGTTTGAGGACATGGTCAAATGTACGACATGTAACACTGAATTCTCGATTGCACAAGGTGGGCGGCGTGACATAATTCAGCATAGTAACACTAAGAAGTACAAGAACATTTCTAATGCGACAAATATAAGCAAAGCTGTGACATCATTATTCAAAAAGGTAGAACCTGCAGATGACGATTTAATTTGTGCTGCAAAAGAAGCAGCTTTCGCGTATCATAGTGCTCAACTTGATTTTACCTTTAACTCATCTACCTGTACCTCAAAACTAATTAATAATTTGATATGATTCAAAATTTTGTAGTGTCAAAACTAAAACTGAAGTAATTATAGTTAGTGTTATTGCTCCAGATATTTTTAATGATTTTTTAAGAAACATTCAACTTCAAAACTTTATTATCATAACTATTGACGCTTCAAATAGACTAGACAAAAAATTAGTTCCAATTATGGTAAGATATATGTTTGAAAACAAACTGCATACGAAATTATTAGAATTTCATAAATTGCCAGGCGAGTCATCAGACATTTTGACTGATTATGTTTTTAAAACGTTAGAAAAGTATAAATTAACAGAAGAAGTAATTTGTTATTGCGCTGACAACACTAACACAAATTAGAAAATAAATTAGGTCATAAGTTAATAGGTATTGGATGTGCAGCACATATTGTGCGTAACTGCACACAAAATGCAGTAAATAAGCTTCCTCTTTTAGATATTAAATCTATTGTTGTAAAAATATTTAAATATTTTTCTATTTACACAGTAAGAACAGAAAGACTTAAGGAATTCTGTGAATTTGCAGAGGTGCAATACAAAAAAGTCCTTAGTAATTCCTCTACGAGATTTTTAAGTCTACTTCCTGCAATTCACAGAATTCTACAAATATTTGATGGTCTTAAATCTTTTTTTTCATCCGAAGAAAATTACCCTAATATTTTAAACAATGTCTTTGAAGATCCCACATATGAATTCTTTCTTTTAAATGGAGGCAGAACAACCCACTGCAGTCGAATTTTTTGCATGGTACCAAGATCTGGTGATAAAATTAGAAGAAAGGCAAAAACAAATATTTGTACCATTCTTGGCTCAGCAATTTTTAAACAAAAATAAAGATATTAATTCTCAAAAGCTACTTCTTGTTATTGATAATTTTTACCAAAACTGTTTGACATATCTGAGTTTATAGGAGCACAATTTTCACGAAATAAAAAAAATTTGATTTCTCACTATTAAAGGGAGAACTTGAATGGCCTTCTATAAACACTGCTGCAGGAATAATTAATAGTCAGTTTACCAGCAATATACCTCTTAATATTGATGATTTATTCGATGAAGTGACTCAAGTTAACAACACGCTATACCTCGTACTCATTTAGACAACTCCTGCCCGCTGTGGTATACAACTACGCGAGGTTTGTTCGGGCTTACTCTAACTTTCATTGGGATGGTCACTCATCCAACTACTAACTGCCCTCGCCCTGACTTGACTGCAGATATCGATACACAATAGTGAATCTGATAAGTCGGGCCTCTGCTCCAATACTTAAGTTATAAATATTAATCAATATAAATTATAACTATATAGACCTATTAGAGACTAATGCGGTTGCAAATTTATCTAGATTGTTGGACAAATTTTATAGAAATATTTAATGTTTGAGTCCAACCCACATTGGCTCAAATAACGTCTATTAACGCCTGCTTGTAATGCTGCAGATGTGCTAGTATGTCTAGTACTATGTGTAGAAACCTATAAAACATCTGCGCTAATCTTCTTTAATATTGTTTTTTTTTGCTTCAAAAATGTTCGTAAATAACTTACTTTATAATAATTATAGCTCAATCATTTGATAGCTCTGAGATAGACCCTGAAAAATGTTTTCCGTTGCTCCATTCCACGCTACACCAGTGAACTGTATATTTAAAATGGAATGCCAATATCACCAGGTGCAAGTGGTAGAAATAGGCTGAACGCTGCTGAAAATGTAGAAAAAAATTCATGAAAACACTGTACTTTTGACATTTGGAGTACTCAGACGCATGCGCATTATTGATGTAATCCAATGATTTTACAGTACTGGTTTTTGTAATTTTGAGTGTGATTTTAAGGTTAATCGTTATTCTATAATTTCTTTGAAATTTTGAAAAACAAATGAAATTGGTTGTGTTACTTGTTGATTAAATCACATTGTAAATTTTGGAAAAATAAATTAAATTTATTGTGTTACTTGTTTATAAATGTAACTAATAAGTAGCATCTCGATTGAGATACGGGATTGGACTATGTGAAAACTCAACAAATTCTAGTGACGTTTTTATTTTTCAAAGGAAGATCCTAACAATAATAGGTAAAGTTCCTTAATATGATTCTTGTCGACCAATATTTGTAGAATACAGTATTTTATATATATATATTTTAAATTAGTTTATATGTTTTTAAGAACTTAAATAAATTTAAGCAAAATATAGATTTCATAATTTTAAGAGCTCAAATTTCGGGATTATATTAAGAAAAGCGCTGTCGAGGAATGCATTTATTTTCATTATGATATTCCAAAATTTAAAGCCCTTTATTTTTTTTTTCTTTGAAACTGGGAGGAATTAAAACTTTAAAATATATGCATATTCTAGATATTATTGCCTAATTTATTTTGCCAAAATTTTTATTTAAAACAAATGCTTTTTGAGATATCCTTGCCCGAAGATTATAAAGGGTGATGTAATCACCTCAACGTGAATTGTTAGATACAGCTACACTCCTCACAATTTTGTTAACGTTAAATACTTATAACTACTGCTGAAGTGTCACTGTTAGAAATCAACAATTAGGAATTCCAACGACCTGTCAAACAATAGCTGCCGGTGTGAAGGGCTTGTATGTCTAAGGGGGTTGCGACATAGCCTTCCATCTTGGAGGCTATTTTTATTCGAAATAGTAATTGCCAAGCCTGCCAATTTATGAAAAATGTACAAGCGGTTTATTAAAAATGATATTTGTATTGTGTTCGAAATAACATATTTATATTTAATCCATTATTCTTTATTTCACGTATTGTACATGGAATATATCATATGTCGCAACCCTTTAGACATACCAAACCTTCCCACCAACATGCTTTTGTTTGGAATGCCTAATTAGCCAATGTTTTTTTTTAACTCAAAACTAATATGATTAGAATAAAACTACTTTTAATACTCAAGCCAAACGCAAGGATTCATTGGTATTTTATTTAATTTAGTATTCTTTTCACCTCTCCAATTTTCTAATATTCATTTTAATTAAAAATGTTGACAAACATGTCTCAAATTACTTAAATTCAATAGATTTTTCTTTTATATTTACTATAACTAAAATAAAATTAAAAATATAATATTTATGGGCCAAATGATATAATTATAGGCTCGTGATGTAAAGTTTCACGATACAACCATTTTGAACGTAAAACACTTAAAATTTTTAATAACAAATAATAATTCAAAAACGGCGATCAGTATTGATTTAACTCAGACGGAGATGAGCATAGATCAATTCAGGTGACGTTGCAGAAACCCTGATTTTCACTGGAAATTAGGGTTTAACTACTGATTAAATACTAGTTGTTGTTAAACTGTATAAATTGAATTACTAGTGCATTTGGACGCATTACACTGAATAAAGTGCCTGAAGTCAAGTAGCTTAAGTTCCCATAATTTTATTTGAAACTTAAATAACCGACTAACAAATTAAAAGCCTGTACACATTATTAGATACTTAAAATCAATTACAAGCCCATTCATTTTAAAGCAACTAACTGATTGTATACTGTTCTTCAATATTATAATAATTATGTTTATATTCTATAAATATCAGCGGCTTAATCTCTGCCGCCGTATACATATATTCTCACCTATATTTAAATTGTAACCATGCACTATACCAGTTCTTATATTCGTATCTCTTAAATCATATTAAAGTAGTTTTAACTCTTTAAGCTTTCAGATTACATTTACTTCATGACTTTATCGTGAGGATCGGTACACCGCATTTCGTGTTTAGTTGCTTCTATTTAAGTACAATAAAAACTACCGACCATACACTGAGAAAAAGTCAAACAATTATGTATAATATATTTTTTTTTTCATTTAATTTAATTGAAATTCAAATCAACATGACGCAAAATAACATTTTAAAAATATTCCCATTTATTAAAATTGGACAAAATTTAGCATTCAAGAAAATGGGGTACACATTGAACATTTTTTATAAATTAATATAACTCATGTGTGGATAAACCTTAAAGGTTATCTAAAATTATAAAAATACAAAAAAAAATTCTAGAGAAAATATATTTTTGGAAAAAAGAGAAATTTTTTAGCGTTAGCTCTAAAAAGGTATCACCTTAGCTTCTTAACCCAAACGGTTACCGTGATATTTAAGAAAAACCCTGATTATTCTGTTAAAATTCCCCCAAAATCGATATAAAATTTCATTCTCTTCCCTTACGAACAATTGATTTATCCACGCACGAATCTTATGCTAATGCTATTTGGTGGGCGTGGAGACCTTTTTGGGGGGAAAATTAGGGTTATTTTACAACAAAAATCAGTGTGAACTTAGCGACTAATATGATTAGTTATCCAGAAATAGTCGAACTGTTAGTGTCGTCGTATTTATTTGTAGAATGTATTTCAGTTATTACAATAGCTATTTTAACAAATGTAAATAGTATAGTATACTCTTATAAAACAACGTAATAAATGCAGTAAAATGAGAAAACAGTGATTAAACTGTAACCTTTGCTACTTGCATATCAGGTATATCTAGCTGGACACAAATAATTAAGTAAGACGTGGCTTCTGATACAATCTGAAAATAAAATGAAGAAAAAAATATACAAAGTCTATAAAATCTGTAAACTGAAAAAAACCAATCAATACAAATGCAGTAAAAATGCATATCTAAAATACAATAGTAGTAATTTAAAAATTAAATAAAATCAATTTTTTTTCAGTATTTTTCTAAATATGACTTATTTACTGAATGTTATTAAGTTATTAACAAAATATGTTGTAATTTTTTATTTTTATTATAAATATGAGAACTTACCGAAAATAATAGTGAATTATTTAGCTCGAACATATTACAAGCAATAAAGTTGACTCTCGAATGAAGCAGTTGATTTGAAAATAGCTTAATCTAAAAATATTAAAAATCCACTAGTATTAAATTATTATCTTAACACATTAGGATAATAGATTAATTAAGTTCATATAGAAAATAGTTAATTAAAAGTAAGAAATAGTATACTATATATAAGTTTAAGTAATGAACTTATAAATAATAATTACACACCACATAGTTAAAAACTAGGATAAAGAAACCCAGAATGAAAAGAGTGTGAAAAAAATTATGTACCGAAGCTATGTAAGAGATAATTTATAAAAAAGGCAGATACGAACTGAAGAGTAATAATAACTAAAAAAAAATTGAGAATAGCTGTAACAATTATATAATATGTATGTTGTTACTTACATATTCATCTGTAACGTCTGAATTGGGAAATTCATGAAGAATAAGAGGTGTTCTTTTTGCCTAAAATAAAATTGAAGAAAATAATATAGTCTACAATATTAGGTTTTTTCAGAGTTATCATTGAGTATATTAGTAGCAAATTACAAAATTATATCTATCGAGAGATATTAAACAACAAAACACTATATCAACAGTAATCAACAACAGACACATTGAAGTATTAAAGTTCATTTAACTTCAACTTACCTCATCACATAACCTCATGCTGTAAGTACAAACAGAAATAATTTGGAATATATTCATGGTCATAACTTCGATGATTATTAGAATATATGCTAAAGATTGTTTTCTTTCATTTGCACTAGATTGTTGCTTAACGAAGAACAGCACATTAGTAATAAGCGACACCAAAATTTGATAAACTTGAACCATTATTCTTAACGAGTAAATCGAATTCAGCTGTTGTGTGATTGTGTGCAATTTGTCGTAGTATCTTCTAATTGCTTCGAAATCATTTAGTAAATCATCAATGGATCTGTAAAATAAAAGTTTGTGCAACAAGTGTTCAAAGGGGTGATTTTCCCACGAGCGCAAAGATTAGTAGAACGAGTAGCACATGTTGCACAATATATTTTTTCTACGACCACAGGTTTTAGAAATTCTAAAATGTATCCTTATGTCACTTTACCTTACGCATCTGTTACTGTTTCTTGGTATATATTTCATAGAAAGTAGTAGTTTTTGCAACATTGAGCACTAAAATGTAACCTACTGAATGCACTGTGTAACTTCCAGAGGAGGAAAGGCCTAAAATTGAACTTAAAAAAAAAACAACTTTACCAATAAAATTTTGTCTACTGCGGTTACATAAGTTTCGGTTGTTCCGGTGTCAACTTTCGTCATCTTTCAGAACGTAGCTAGGGGGTAGATATATAGATTATACAAAAAGACCTTTCCCATTATTCATCAAAATTTACTGTGTGAAAAAGATAAATAAAGTTGATAATGCATTAGGAACATTCGGTTAAAAAAATGTTTAATTTAACAAATTAGCAGGCATAGTGTACAAGGAATCCTCAATGTAATATAAAAAAAACTGATAGTAGGGTGTCACCCCAAACAACATCGCCATCATCATCTTCTTATCCAGATAAAGTAACATCTATGTGAAATAGCCAAATGACTTAAGAACTATGAATATATGGACCAGTGTTCTGGTAAACCGTTGTACTGTGTTCCCACGATTGACCTCACGAGCGAATCCTCGGATGAATCCACGGATGAGATCCTGGAGATGAAGTCCTGGAGGTAAACCCTTCGGGTGAAATCCTTTTCTCCCAAATTGTTCAACTGGTAACTTTTCTAGGTTGAAAAGCGACAGTCCAATAGTAACTGCACTTAAAGAATCTACTTCAATACTACAAACTCTTATGCAGATGGACTTCCAATTTAAAAACCCCTTAAGCGAGTGTGAAATTGGTTAACACTAAAAAATGGAAATTTATTTATAAACCACTTGAAGTTTCCCAAAATCCATATACGTACTTTCACAATTATAATTGAGGGAAAATCTAAAAAAAAAACGTACATAGGAAGACTCGAAGGTCACATAAATTAAGATTTTCTTCTGACGAAAATTAAAACGTGACTTGCTTTTTCAAATTTCGAAACGAACCTGACCAAGAAAACTGGCCACATTATTTTGCCTACAACTTGACGTGACAAGGTAGAGTGTGTTCAGAAAATAATCACACCAAACGCACAGTCACCGTATTATCGTGTTCTATCAACTAATTTCTCGACAAAAATAACCTATTTAAAAATTGGCATGTGGGACAGTTTCACAGTGACATGAATTAAAACAAAAATGATTAATTATTTAAAAATAAGACTTGCTCTTTAATAATTAATTCTCTCAAGGTAAGAAACAAAGCAAATAAGTGAACTCGCAACGAAACATTGATTTATTTAAGGTGCATTTATCAAATTAACAAAAAATACTACAATTAGTGGAGGATAAAATGTACAACTTCAGTACTACGAATAAATTCCTATAATTCTGTTTATTGATAATAAAAATTAAATAATAAATACAAGAATCAGCAAGACAGAGTGATGACAACAAATGCCGTCAATTTTTAGCACATAATGCGTAGTGTGAATAAAAATAAGAAATTGCTTTTACTTAAAAATGAGTAACAAATCGTTTTTATTTTTCATAAAATAAAATTTCTGGACCTTACATAAAGTTCTTAGAATCTTTATCAAATAATTAGTATTCCCCAATTCTAGCTAAACATTTTATTTATTGGAAAGTAAGCATGATTTTTTACCAATTTTCAAGTACTAGCAAATGCTTACTTTTTATTCACACTACCCAATAGCTTCATAGGCTTGCATAAGCAATTTAGAACGGTTTACCTTCTTACGTTTACTAGATAGTATTTTGATAGCATTTAGATAGTATTTTGAACCGTCAAATGTGTACTTTACAGAGTGGATCCACTCGAGTTATATACTATATTTTTTTCTACGACCTACTAACGAAAATTTATACATTTTAAAAATTAATTTAGAAGTTATTGAGACAAAATAACTATTTAAAAAAATTGTTTATGATTTTTACTAATTTATAAAATAAAATTACCTTGAAAAACGATTTTAATTAATCTTCCATCCTGGATTTGGACCCCAAACAAAGTTCTACTTTCTACACCAACTATTCAACTAAATTTTCGTTTTTAATACTTATGATTAAAATGGTTTTAGATAGTGTTAAATTTACAATATTGAACCTTTATTAATAATATTTTTATATCTGTTGACAGTTCATTGATGGTACTATTTTGTAATATTTGTATCGCTTAAAAATGCCTATGGCTTTGTGACACACATTGTCACTTGTCAAAGTCATTCGTCATCTATCAGTTGGCTCTCAACTACCGCCACGATTTCATCATTAGCTTTCTGTTAAGGAAGGTGGCCCCTTCAGGGAACCTTTCACCTTTGTAAAATTAGTGTAATTTAAAATATTAAGACCAACTGTGATATGTTACGATCGAATATGACTGTTTAAATGGTTGAAATGAAGTAAATTAACTGAATTTGTGTTTTCTTTACCGATTCCACATAGCGCAGGAAATACAGTCGAGCCCTAAAAAAAGGTTTTGGGGCCTCTTTAAGTTGTAATTATTACAGATAGTTTTATTAAAATTTAAGATTTAGTTGTAAATATAGACAGGTAGCTTGTGGAGTGCTATTATTTATTAATTCTTTACAAGAATCACCTATTTTTAATTATATTTAATCTGAATTATTAAAAAATTACTGGCAATTAGTTTGACAGAATTGTCACTTATTTAAAATTTTTAAAAATAATTATATCCCGTTTATCAAATATGAACGGTGTTTGGTGGATTTTATATCCGTACAGTGTTTTTTATAGAATAGATATGGGGGCGTCCATTAATTACGTGAGGTGTTCAAGGGGGGAGGGGATAAAACGAAATCTGTCTAAATCTCACTTGGGGGGATGGGGGGTTTTCGTAAATCTCACGTAATTTTTTTTCTAGTAGAAAACGGTGTAAAATTGCGTGAAAGTAAAGTTAAATTATAGTAAAAGTATTTTTCTACGACCGTGTATTTTTACCCACTTTCCCGCACGCATTTTAGTTTTGAAAGTGTCACTTTCCCGCACTAGTGCGGGAAAGTAAAATTATGAATATTTAGCCTTACCTATTGTATAGTTTTTTTACCTCAGATGTTATAACTATTGTTACAATAGGTAATTTAGTATTTTCCAACTATTCCATTTAATAAAATTTACTTTTTTTCTTGTTTTTTGTTATAATTTTAATTCTTTGGAAAACTTGAATAATAGAGATATTTTTATATACCTTCTGTATATTTTTAAAAGTCAGACTAGGCTGTGACATGTATGGCTTGATATGGTTGCTATATGGTAACTAAGGCGTGTTATTGTTACAAAAACGTCAAAGTTGTTTGTTGAAGCGTCAACTGAATTAAAATAAATTAAAGAAATAATGGATTCATCGGATGAAGAGCTGCCCGAAGCCATTTTAAAAGCTGCAAATGAAGCACATTTGGAGGTGTTACCTGCCAAATCACGAGGAAGATATGAAAAACAATACGACCATTTTGTCACATGGTGTAAACAGGAAGGGGTAAAAACCTACAAAGAAGAGTTGTTTCTGGCGTATTTTTCGCACCTAAGTAAGTTTTTGAAATCTAATACTTTATGGTCTCGCTATTCGATGGTGAAAAGTTTAGTAAAAATAAAACAAAATTTGGATATAAGCGAGTTCCATAAGTTAACGTCATTTCTAAAACAAAAAAATGTTGGTTTTCGAGCACAGAAGGCGCAGGTTTTTACCAAAGAAGATATATCCAGGTTTATGTTAGCCCCTGATGAGGTATACCTTATGATTAAAGTGAGTACCATTTTTGCTTTAGCTGGTGCTCTCCGCAGAGCGGAGCTTGTAAATATCACTCTCGATGATATACAAGATAAAGGCAATCTGATAGTTGTGAAAATTTCCGATTCCAAAAATCATTCTTCAAGATCATTTGTTTTATGTGAAGAAATAAATAATGGAAACTTTCTGAAGCTGTACAGAAAGTACGCAGGTTTATGACCACCTACCACTCCGCATCGCCGCTTTTTTATTAATTATAAGAAGGGAAAATGCTCAATTCAGTGCGTTGGCGTAAACACCTTTGGTAAGATGCCAACAGAGATTGCTGCATATTTGCGTCTACCTAATCTTGAACGATATACAGGACACAGTTTTAGACGTTCTTCAGCAACATTCCTAGCAGACTCAGGTGAAGCGATAACCAATATAAAACGTCTCGGTGGCTGGAAGTCCACTACTATCGCTGAAGGCTATTTGGAGGACTCCGAAACACAGAAGAAAAACATTTCGAATAAAATTCTTTCAAATAGAAATGACTTGCAACCTTTGCTGCCACCGTCATTTTCACCTTCATGCGACCTGCAACCGATGTCACTCCCGTCCACGTCATCTTTTCAATCTACGAGCGTTACGACTATTAACAGCCAATTAACACCAACGAATTCCTCTGTACCGGCAATTTTACATAATTTACAAAATGCTACAAATTGTGTATTTAACATTAATATCCATAATAATTAGTTGTTTTTATTTAAAGATTTGTATATGTTGAAATAAAATAATTTTTCAAAAATAATTTTTCCTACTTTTTTGTATATACGGCCGTAGAAAAAATAATGTTCCTAACTCATGCGTAAAGTGTCTTTCCCGCACTTGACCGCTTGCCCGAACTCCGCTTCGCGTCGTTCGGGCCAACTGCAGTCGCGTGCGGAAAAGTAACACTTTCCGCACTTGTTAGGAAAATAACTATTCTAGAATAAAATATGGAAAAATCTTATAATTATGTTTATTTACAACCATATATGTAATGTTGTCATTACTAACGTCATTGAAGGTTGGGAAGTGTCACATTACACACCTCTACTTCCCGCCCTCACTTCCCGCCCTCATTTCATCTATTCTAGATGAATATTTTTTATATTTAAAAAAAATAACACAATTTTTGACAAATTTTATAATACCTATTTAATGGCAAACAATAAAAAACAACAATGAACTAAAAATACAACAAACTACTTAATTAATATTTATTATTCGCGAATTTAATATCCGGCTTTATCTGACATTTGTTTATTCCTGTCTCGAGATCATAGCTAACCTCGACGCTTCACGTCTCGGTGATCTAACTAATCTCACGACATTTCCATTTAAGTATTTATCATTTAATTTTATTAATGTGATTTTAAATAATTGCAACACTCTCAAACACTAGTCTTTGCTAGTCTTAAATAAAAGTAATGGAACATATTGTGTTTTTGTTTTTTTTTTAATAATCCAACACATTTACACCCAAAACACGAATTCTGAAAAATCTCACGTGAGATTAGGGAAGGGGGGGAGGGAGTTAAGGAAAATCTTACCAAATCTCGCCAGGGGGGGGAGGGGGAGTGAAAAAATCCTCAAAAATACCTCACGTAATTAATGGACGCCCCCTATGAAATATATTTATTCAGTTGAACACAATGCCCGACTTATCATTTTGTAGTCTATGTGTAGAACAGATAATATCCATGTGGGTGTAGAAAAAATATATTTAATATGCAATGTTACATTTCTGAGTATCTATTCTCAAATCTCAGGGAATAGAAATTTTGAGGGACGAATAAGACAAAAATACAGATAAAAAAGAAAAACCGAGTATCTATTCCGTTGAATTCAAGAATTGCTACCCAGATCTTTTTGAACAAAGCTTTGAACAAAGATTTATAGGAACATAGTATGATTTTATTCAGTTGTTTAACTTAATCAACAGTTAAAAAAAATAGTAAGGTGTATGTACCTACTTACATATTTATATTTTTAAAACCATAACCATAGCCAATTACACTGATTTTATGTATATTGGAATTTTCTGACTGTAAGTGAATATCAAATTTACTTTTTAACTTAAGTAATTCTTCGTTAATCCATCCGTACCTGATTGTTAAAAGCGAAAGTAAAATATTTAATTCTAAAATAAATGTATTACAAGCGAACAGTGGTACGCAATAAGTAAATATAAATTTGAACCTAATTGGATTCCAAGGGTTTGGAAAAAAACATATTATATCTTCAATTAGTAATGATAACGAAAAAAAATGGAAGATACATGATGCTACTAACATGTGCTTTTTGGTGTTATAGTTGCTTAATTTAATAGAAGAAATCGGTTTGTGTTTTTGTATGTCCTTGTCAAAAAAATTAATTGCTTCCAAGAGATTTATGCTCTATAAAAATAAAAATATATATTTTAGTTAACAAAATATTGTAGTGGTTGTCAAAATTACCTGTCTTTGATAATATATTCCAAAATACATTATCAAAATTGTGGTTACTGAAAAAGAATGAACATTAACTAATTCAATTATATGATAAATTTCACTGCGATCTTGTTGTCCTCTAGTGTAAATATCAAACGCCGAAATGCCGATATAGACAACAACTATAATCGCTGGATAAATCATACCCGACACACTGAATATGAACTTATTTTTTTTAATACAGAATGAGGTATATCCAAAATATTTGGAAAAAACAAACATCAATGAGACCGATTCAAAAATATTACGTGGTTTATGCATTGCATCAAATAAGTTTTACAGACATACTGTTTTTATTCTTATAAAGCAGAGAGAGCGAGTTATATCGTTTATTCAAAATACGAAATTATTATTTTAGGTAGACAGGTTTGACAACTTGTAATAATCCGACTGTAGGTGGCACGCCCTATATTTTGCTTAACTACACGTTTTCAATTATTACTTATATGGATTAAACAATAGTTGTTCAGATTGTATGACAGTCGTCATAATCGCCTACTTATTTACTTTCACAAAATATGTTTTAAGAAAACAACGTAGGTCCCATAAAGGCCCAAAAAAATAAAAATAAAACTGTAAAAATTGAGATTTTATTTAATGCATTAATTTAGAAGATGACACATTTCAGATTACTTTTCGGTACAAAATGGAGGCAGATCCTTTACTTATTTTTAAATGCTGTATTATAACAAAATTATTTAAAAGTGTGAAATTTTGACCCATTATCTAAACTACATCCTAATGTTTACAAAAAAAATTCAAAATAAATATTCTTAAAGTTAAATAGTTTTTACCTTCTCCTGAAAAATTAATAAAAATAGAGCTACTTCCTTTTTGCACCAGTGTCTTCAATTACCTTAAGTGTAATACCATCTCTAAGCCAAGCTGCACTAAAAGAACCATCGCCTAAACTCACCAAGCATCTACTAAGCCATAATAGGAACAATACTAGAGTACTAGTCTATTAACAGGGCCATGTAAGCTTAGCAAACATATGTATATCGATCTGAGAGAAGAGACTTTATGCCGATTCTGTCAGAAAGATGAGGAAACTGAAGAACATCTTTTGTGCTACTGTCAAGGTCTATCAAGAGTGAGATTCCTTATACTTGGAAAAGAAGAACGAAGGACAACTAGCTACGCCGCAGTCTACGTAGTCTACTATAAAAGACCGAACTAGATAAGGTAGTCTAAACAACGATTACAGGATATCCACAGTAGATCTGAAAAGATTGAAGTGGGAGAGGCCACATGGCCCACAGTCCTAATTAAATGTAATCTAATCTACTGAGAAAGACTACAGCTACATCGTTCTCACTTTGCCTCTACCTGCCTTCTTCTTACAGTCCCTATTCTATCCAATTGTGGACAGGATGCCACTACGGTTAGACTATGTCTGGAAAAGGAAGAACACTATTTAGAAATAGTACCGGAAGTAAGCAGTGAATGCAGTAGGCTCAGCTAACCAAAGTATAAAGATATATAAATACTACTAATACTTGTGTACATCTAAAATTTCTTGTAGTTGTATTTATTTCGGTGTAATTTTGGCTACTAAGCACTTTCTTTTTTATAAAAGTAAATAAATTTCATTGTATATATTTGGATATAAAAAATGATTTTCTAACTCTAACAGTAAAGAATATTTTCGGCTGCAAGGAAGACCTGAATAAATTACGGAAGGAGAAACTCCGCCACATTACTCTGTTCATCGGGACCTGCAGAATACTAGTGTTTGCGCAAAAGAAAATTCAATTTAGATTTAATTAACTGAAATTATGCTTCACCATTTTCAAACGCTGAATTCATTAGTCCAGTTTGATTAAAATGTCGACATCTCTTTATCTATTAATCCTTTTTAGCTTTGCCCACCGCACTCCTTGTTTTTCTATATATACATTAGTTATGTCTTCGTTCTAACGTTTCAATCTAGCCAACAATTAAAATGTAGAAACTAGTGCGCATTATTAATTTATTTAGAATGGTCATTAATCTTTTTGACGGGCATCTAGAACAATGTTCATCTTCCCGGTTTTTTATCTCAGAAAATATATATAGAAAGTGTTAAGACTATCTCTATACGTATTACTAGTCAATTTATCTTTAAATAATAAAATAACACTAAAAAAGGTTTGCACATGCATATCTAGGCATATACTAATTATAATTTCTGATAGTGTGTTTATATCATTATATCGAGAATATTAACTGACCATACAAAATTCAGGGTAAGTTTAAAATATAAATGCTGACAAGATCAAACCTTCGGGCCAGCTTTACTAGCAGGTAGAGATGCTACTGATCGGTGACTTTACGTGTGACTGGCAACCTCGATACTATTTTCTTGTTTCTCGTATATATGCGGAAGTGACATCATTACATGGGTGGGTACTGGGTACTTACTATGTTTATAACTAACTTAGATACATTTTCCGTCCTCAACAATTTTCACAGGTTTAGACTCAGGTGACCGATAACCGATGTAACCACACTAGGATCAGACCAACTCCTGTACACTCTGGAAGCTGGCCAGAGATATCGGAAGACCAATCAGGATTTGTTGAACAGTAAATGATTTCATTTTTTCCGTTTGTCTTTTGGAATTAAGTATAAATATATATATTTTTGATAAATTATAGAAGTCTTTTTGTTTTAAAAACCCTTTATGGTTTTAGTTTATTTTAATTATCTCTCTTACTATTTAAGATAAAATTATGATTTGACAACCAACTTTTTATCTAGTAATAATCAAGATTATATGTTTACGAATTTGTGCAATTTTTGTGATATCAACTTATATATTTAAAAAAATTGTTGGACATATGATTAAATATTTACATAATTTTGTGCCATTTACGATAATACACTTTTGAAATTTCAAAAATATATTTAGGCACAATGGGGCATGTTCAAAAATTTTTTATCTATTCATTTGCCTGAGTTATTAATTGTTTTAAATTTATGACGTAGCCGGGAATAGACCAATAGAAACTAGCGACACAACGTTGCCAGTTACGAGAAGTAATATACGTTCGTTTGTGTGCACCGTCTTATTTTTACACTTTCATTATATTTATAGTTTCATTGTTTTAAAAAACGACAACTAATGAACAAGAAAACGACAATACGACAGCACTGTATGTGTAATCTGTCAATCAAGAATTTGTGTGTTGCGTCAATCGATAATTATTTAATTTTGATGTTTTATAAATATTATGAGTACGAAAAAAATGTTTCCTCCCAAGATGTGATAATGATTTATATTTTACATTCATTATTAAAAATATTTATTAGTGTTGCTAGAAATATGAAAAGAAGAAAATTATTATTATTATTATTATTATTATAGCACAAGTAGAAGTTGGAAAGGCTTTTGGCATTTCTCTCACTTTATACACATAAATTGACAGGTTTGCGGAAGAAATAACCAAAGTGGACGCGATACATTGGCGTACAAAATTTTTTTTTAGATGTTAATAACAATTTCGAGTAAATAGTTTAATAAATTGTGAATAGCTATTGAAATTTTGTAAAATTATGATTTGAAAATTATAATACATGTTTAATAATTATTTATAGTCCATAAATATATGCGATTGTCCGGTTCCAACGGTAACAATTTAAAATTACTCTATTCTATGAAATGACACTGACAGGTAAACATTACTGCGAAATTCTCGAAGCCGTCCGACGTGGTTTGACGTTTACCTCCTCTCTACCTACCAAAAGCCTTTACAACTTCTACTTGTGCTATAGACAGAAACGCTTCAAGAAACAGCTAAATTATTTTGAGGTTTGTACTTGTAATCTTTATTAAAATAAAAATGTTTTATTGTAATTTATTAGACTTTAATTATCTATCATTGTAATAAAGATTTTTTTTTTTTAGATACCAGATAATTTTGAAAACTGTTTATTTTTTAAATGTTAGATAAACCTTTACATATAAGAAGTTTTTATCTAGTAACACACAAATGTCTCCAAAGTTCTTGATATTCACCACACAAAAGCCAGCTTACTGATTCTACCAAAAAAAGAAAAACAGAAAACAGAAAGCATAAAAAAAATGTCTTCTAAAAAGTTGACTGGAAAATAACATTCTACTAGAGTCATTTTTCATCTCTATTAAATAAAAATACATCGAATCTTCAAGATGTAGCAGCAATTTCTGACTTTGCCCCTTCAGGAAATTTAAAATGAGCCTACTATAAGTTCGAAGGTGTATAACCTAAAAATCCTTCCTCGGAACCTCCTGAAAGTTTTGAAGTTAGTGAAGTTCTGTCTGAAACAGAAAAAACATCTTTAATATCTGATTCAGAGGGACTTAATAATGAGCAGGATCTTCAAAACCAATGAACTCTCAAAATAATTGAAAATAAACTGAAGGTATATTTAGGATTGCCCAACAGTGTTTTTAAAATCCTCAATGATATTTATGAGAAGGAAAGTGTAGCTTACAAAAGCCTTTTACATTTCTGTGTGAATTAGTGGTATTGTTGACTCAAAAGAACTCGTTTTGTAAGACTAAATACCTAATAATTTAATAAACTGTTTAATTGTGTTTTTTTTATTAATTTATCACATTTCAGAAAATATAATAATTGTATACAAACAAAAATGTAAAATCTGTGAAAATTTTATTTATTAACCTATTATTAAAAAATAAAAGTACCTGAATAAGATAAACGAAGTAAAAAACACTTTATTTACAAATAATAATAAAACATATATTTAAGTTGCACAAATTAAACGTTCCTCTAAAGATTCATTATCAAATTCAACTTGTTATCTACCTCAGCATTATTTACTTCAAATGTGGGAAAAACAATGCAAAATACTTTATGTTCATGTGTAATTATTCCGTTTACTGCGCAAATATCTCCTTTTCTCAAGTTATTCATGGAAAATCGCATTATCTCCATATATTTGCTTGGCAGATCTAAAAATAATAAAATATTTAATAAAGTGATGATTTTTTTTAGTATTTTCAAGAGTACGTTTTTATGGATTCCTCTTTTTTTTTAATTTTTATTACTTTTCTATGTTCCAAATTATTTCATAAAATATAAACATAGTTGTGTTTTTATTATTTCAATTTAGCAATATTATGGTAGATTTATTCATATAAATACTAGACATGTGTA